CATTTTGAGACAGGGTCTCACCAAGTTCCCCAGGCTGGAATAGAATGTGCCATCATCCTACCTCCGTCTCCTATGCATCTGAGATCTCAGGCGTGGAACATCATGCCCAGCTTTCCAGGCATCATTTATCTACTCATCTACACATGCAGTTTATTGGGTTTTGGTTCCTTTTTTTTTTTTTTTTTGCTGTTTTATTCCCACTAAAAGACCTTATCAAGCCGGGTGTGGAGATACATGTCTATAATCCCAGCACTTGGGAGGCTGAGGCAAAAGGGTTGCTGTGAGTTTGAGGCCAGCCTGATCTACATAGCAAGACCTTGTTTCCAAATTAAAAAAAAAAAAAAGACCTTATCAAGCAGCCTGGGGGAGAAGGCTCACTCTTGCCCCCACCCCCCCAAGATGGACAGTGTGGCAAACAATTATTGACTACCTTCTGTGCCCCTGGTAGCCCTCACTGGGAGAAAGCAGAATTTCCTTGCCATCAAGTGCCAGATCTGAGCCACAAACCCACATTTGCCTGATTCTCCAAAGCTTGCACTCTTCCTACAGCCCAGAGCCAGTAGGTGGTTCTCACTTGCCCGCCTCTCAGCTCTGCTACTCTATCCATTACTGCATAGCACTGTGCAGCGGGTGGACAGGGAGGGAGGAGGGGTGATGGGGGGTGGCCTTCCTGGAGGAGGGGGCATAGGGACTAAAGCACTCAGGTTGAAAATCCACCCAGTGGGCTCTGGAGGCAACAACTCTCAAGGACGGGGCAGGAGGCAACATCTCCACCCCAGCCCTGGGGGACTTCGGGCTATGACCTCCAGCTGTGGGCAGGAAGCTCAACTAAGAGAGGCTTGAGAGGTCAAGATGAGGCTAGGGAAGGACAGAGATTTGAAGGACTTGATGGGGCCGTACAGCTAATAGGATCCAATAGGCTCAGCCCCGGTAGGCTGATGTCATTCTTTTTTTTTCTCCTTTTGCTCAGGGGCTCATGCTATCACTGAGCTGCACCCCAAGCCCTTTATGAGACAGGTTTTCCCTAAGCTGCCCAGGCTGCCCTCAAACTCACAATCCTCCTGCCTCAGCCCCCCAAGTAGCTGGGATTACAAGTGGGTGCCACCACACCTAGCTTAAGCAAGCTGACTCCAGAGTCCTGCTCTGAACCCTGAGCTGATCCCCAAGGAAGCTCTCAGTAGTGAGGCCATGCTGCTCTGTCCCTGCTGCCCCAGGCTGCCTGCCTCCACCTCCACTGGCTGCAGTGAGACGCTGCCCCCCAGTCAACACCTGTAGGGTCAGCGCCTGTGGAGGGGAGATGCGGCCAACCTCCCTGCAGGTGAGTGGCAGTGGTCCTTCCCCCGAGCAAGGAGAAGCATTCTGTTTCCTTATTTATTTATTTATTTATTTAGTAGTTTTCTCTTTTTTTTGGTACCTGAGATTGAACTCAGGACCTTGCACTTGCAAGGCAGGCGCAAAAGCCCCAGCCCTTTTATTTTGTATTTTTCGTATTCCATTTCCTCTTTAGCTATACAGCTCTGAGGAAGTGAGCCCAGTGCTGCTGGAGATATGTTCCCTGCCACAAAAAAACCAGCCCCAAGGAAGAATGAAGAGGTCTTATTTAGAAAATGAATTTAGCCATAAGTAACAGAGGCCTGACCACAGTGGCTTTTCACATGAAAAGAATTCTAGAGGTTGGCATTGCCGGTGTTGGTTCAGTGTCAGGGGTAATGTCTTAGCGCAACATGGTTTTCTTAGTCCCAAGGTGGCTGCTATAGCACCAGTCCTCAAAACCACATTCCTGGGCTGGGGATTTACCTCAGTGGTTCCGCCGCCTGCCTCAAAATCGGAGGGACCTGAGTTCGATCCCCAGTACCAAAAAAAAACACATTCCAGGAAAAAACAAAAGGGGGAGGAGCAAGGGTAAGCCCTTTGAGGAGCAGTCTAGAAGTCCCACTCAGAGGCTTCCAGTTAACATCTTACTGTCCATTCCTATAAGCAGGGACAGCTGTGAGCTTAGCTGGGCTCATTACCATCCCCCAACTATAAAAAGCTTCTGTAGCTAAGGAGGAAGGGGAGAATGGAGGCTGGACAGGTAACTGTCACCAAAGGTGGCCTGCAGAGAAGCAGGGATGAGCACTGTGGCCTCCCTAAAGTCCTGCCCTTAGTCCTGTGGGCCAATAAACACCTCTTTTTCTTAAACTAGCTTGAGTTGAGTTTCTGTCACCTGCCACCAGGAAACCCCTGATCAGCAGGAGGTCACCTACATCAGAGACCTGTCTGCCTCCCCTCCCTTTCAGTGAAGGTTTCTCCCACAACACCCATGTTGCTTAGAGCAGAAATCGTTGGCACCGACTTCGCCCTTACTCATGCCTGGCTTATGAGCACACGCTAATTTCCATGCCAACTCATTTCCCGCCCTCCAGGGCACCTGGCTGGAGGCCCCAACCAGCCCCACCCCCCACATCCAGCCCAGCAATAGCAGGGTTGGGAAATTGCACCTCATCCCCGGCCACTCACAGGGGACTGTGCAAAACACGGAGTGCTCACCTGGGGCCAGCTCGCCCAGCGCCCAGGGGAGGGAGAAAAGTAAAAACTGAGACCTGGCCGGTCATTGTGGCTCACACCCGTAATCCCAGCTACTTGTGAGGATGAAGCAGGAGGATCGAAAGTTCAAGGCCAGCCTGGGCAACCTTGTCTCAAAGTAAAAAATAAAACAGGCTGGGGATGCACCTGGATTCCATCCCCAGCACTGCAAAAAACAAAAACAAATACCAAGACCTGGGGAAGGCCTTGAGTTTACCTGAGGCCACAAAGCTGTCCCACACCATTGTACTGACCCCAGTGCTCGCAGCCCCAGGAAGCCTCTAGGGGGAGAGGTCCAAGGTACCCAGCCACAGGGCGCCAGGGGACGCTGCCTGTCTGCTGAGGAGACAGCGAGCAGCCCAGGGCAGCAGGTTGCTCTTCAAAGGAGGGGCAGCGCCCAGCCCTGGGCCTGTGCCAGGTTCCCCAGTGGCGGGAAATGACTGGCAGGGAAGTCAGAACCACCATCACCCCGGGCATGAGTAAAGCCCAGGCAGCTGCCAAGAAGGGCAGGGCAGGGAGACACTGCCCTGAGCCACAAGGCTGGGAAGGAAGCCCGACATCCAGAGCCAGGACTCCTGCCCTGTCATTGCTGCCTGGTACCTTGACCCTGAGCGAATCAGTCACCCTGAAAATGCTGAAAAACGACAGCCACCACCTTGGACAGGCATGTGTGTCTTTGTTCGCTCATTTATTCGTTCATCCTTTCATTCATTTATCCAACATACATGTTGGGAAGAGCTCTTTGCAGTCAGGACCTAAATTCAAATCCCCATCTGCCACTAACCAGTCACATGACTTCAGCCAGGTCATTCCATCTCTGTGTACCTTGGTTCCCTCATCTGCAAAGTGGGGTAAGAATATCTCTTTCATATGGTGACTCTAAAAATTAAGTTCAACTAGGCAACATAAGAGGCTCTAATAGTTGGGCACAGGGGTGCATGCCTGAAATCCCTCGTACTCTGGAGGCTGAGGCAGGAGGATTGCAAGTTCAAGGTCAATCTAGGTGACTTAGTGAGACTCTATCTCAAAATAAAAAATAAAAAGGGCTGAGAATATAGTTCAGTGTAAAGGCCCTGGGTTCAATCGCCAGCGCTAAAAAAAAAAGAAAAAAAAATTTAGTAATGCCAAACAGCAGTTGTCAGTAGACAACAAGCAGCAGCCTGACCACGGTGACAGTGATGGTGGTGGCACCAGTGGCAGTGGTACTTGTGGTAGCAATGATGGTGGCAGTGTAGTGATGGGTAGAGCCCAACACTCTGCCTGAAACCTGAAAGATTCTCAAGACATCGCAGCTCCTGTTGCTGTGTCCCTGTGGATATTGATAAGCACAGCACAGTGGCACTATGTGAAAAGCACTTAGCATGCTTCCCGGGCAGCGTCTTAAGAACTGGTTGCCTTCAATGTCCTTGGCCTCACGATGTGCCAGCTGCCCACCACCCTGCCCACTGCATGTGTGTTTCCCCACCTTTGGAGAGGCCTCAGAGCACCCAACCCTGGCGAGGACTCCACCGTCATCTGGGATGGAGGTAGGGCCCTCACATCCCTGCTGGACAAGACAGATCTTTCTCACAAACTCTGAGCCTGAGCCTGAATCTGGACCAGCCCCTGTCCCCCAACTTCCACTCCATGTTTCCCAGCCTAGGAGCAAACTGGGTTCTTCTCTCTGCCCAACATTTATATTCTCAGCTATTTATAACCCTGGCTTCAAGCAGCCTTGCGGCTGAGGCTGACAGGGCGTCGAGAAACCTGGCCTCTCAATTGCATGGCATCCCCAGCGGCTCCGACACCCATCAGACTGTTTCATCTTCCAAACTATCTCCAGCTTCCTTTCTCTTTGCCTGGCTCTCTCTGGTCACTGTCCAGCATCCTGCAGCTCAGGGTGTGTGGGTCTGGGTTGGAGTCACCTGGACCATGGGGTCCCCAGCCTGGTTGTGGCCTCCAGGTGCCAAACCCTCCCTAAGCACTAAGTGGAAAGGTGTCCCCGACTGTCTGAGGGGAAGTGGGGGAAATAAGGAGCAACACCCGATAGCTTCAGGAGATAAGGGGTGAGACAAGTAAGGGAGCGCAAGAGGAAGGCACTGGTTTTGGGTCCAGGAAGGCAGGGTGGTGGGAGGACTGGAAGCCACTCAGTAAGGTCACAGGCAGGAGCATTGGTGCTAGAATCCCAGGTCTGCTACTTCCTAGCTGTGTGTACTTGGCCAGGTTGCTAACTTCTCTGAGTGTCCCTTTCACCTGTTGTTTTCCTTTTTTTTCAGTGCTGGGGATTGAACCCAGGACTTTGTGCATGTTAAGCAAGTGCTCTATCATTGGGCTACACCTCAGCCAAGACTGAGGAATATGTTCGAGAAGTTTCCCCAGCATGGTGGCTGACACACATTGGCCACATCTGTCTCGCCTTTACCTATCCCCAAACATTGATCTCAGATCACACTTACCCCAAAAGATTCAAGTCCCTGGCTCTCCAGGCGTTCCCACTTGGAAAAGGATCCGCTCGTGGAAGAGAACCTTGGCTCATGCCCAGCCTGGTGCAAGGATCCCCTGCACCAGATGTGCACAAGATGTGGCTTCTTGGGCAGCATCAAGACATGGCCTAGGTGAAGGCAGACAGGTCTTCCCCCATACACCTGGAGCAGGAGGGGAGACAAATGGTGGCCCAGGTGGCCAGCATGGGTCTCAAATGGGGACTCTTGAAGTCCCTGCGGGCATGGTAAACAGAGCCAGAGCTCCTGCCATTGAGTGCAAGCTAGAGCCTGGGAAATCCTGCTCACGGCTGTTACAGCACCCCCTTGTGGCTGGGCAGCCTGGAAGACATGCTTGCCTCAAGGTGAGGGCCCCAATAGGTTCTGTTCCCCACCACACTGAAGAACAGGTGGAGGTGGTGTGTGAAAGTTGAAGAGAGGCTGGATTTAAAATTACTCCCAGCCATAAAGCTGGATGTCCCTGAATCTCCTTAGGGTCCCCACTAGCTTCAGGCTCTGAATGGGAAGGACGGCACCTGGCTCATCCAGTGTGTTCTGCCCAGGAGCCAGCACACAGCCTAGCATGCTCAGGAATGAAGGAATGGGTGCAGAAAAGGAGACCTCGTCAGGTGTTGCCAGACAAACAGCACCAAGAGACCTGGGTCAGCCATGTCCTCCACCCTGGGCCAGGCCACAGCTTGGGACACCAGAGGCTGCTGGGTGCAGGGCGAGGAGCCCCTGAGCTCGGCAGGCTGATGTCCTCAGGCTCCTCATTTACCTTCTCTGAGCCTCACAACCTTCATCTATATACAGAGGCACTAGGGCTGTCTGGGCCAAGCTCTTCGGAAAACTGTACACATGGGTAAAAGGGCACGACCCGGCCAGCACTCAGTACACAGCATTTCCTTGGCAAGGCAGGAATGGGCAGGCAGAGTTCCCCCCATCCCAGCACCCATCCCTGCCTTCCCTTTCTGTCACAAAGCTGTGCCAGCCCCTCTTGGGGAGCTGTGGGCTCACATCTAGCCCCACACCGCAACAGTCCCTTCCTATGCACTGTCCTTCCCCCCTCTTCCCTCCCCCTCCCCCTCCTGTTCCTTCCTTCAGCAGCTTCCCTGCCTCTCTGTGCTCCTTCTACAAACTGGTCCAGCCCAGTGGAAACAAGGAAAGCAGAAAAATCGTATCTACCTTCCCCAGGGGCGGAGCTCACAGCCCCTCCTCTTGGTGCCCTGGACCCCGAGAAGGACCCCGAGAAGGGCCCCGGAACCCAGGAGAATGGGCCAAGAGAACAAAGTACAGCGGAAGGAGAAAGGGGGGCTGGGGAGTTGGCCCGGCCTCCTCCCACATACACTGCAGACGGTAGGCGGAGCCAAAGGCTCCGGGCTCGGGCTCGCTTCTTTCCCCTGGAAGCATGGATCTGCGCACCCCACTGTGGGCTCTTGTGTCACTCAGACTGAGATAGTGGGAGAAGCCTGCGTGATAGGGCGGACATCCCCAGAAACTCAGGCCCCTCTTAGACCCTGCTCTTGGGAAAGTACCTCATGTGGCCTCCCTTCCTCAGAGCAGAATGACCTACTACGTCTCTTTAACCAAGTAAGGTCCTACTGAAGCGACCTACCCAAAGATGACAATCCTTGACAAAGTTTAAATGGAAGGGAGGGAGGAAAGGGAGCAATTTCAGCCCACAGCAATCAGAAGAAAATAAATAATAAAAATTAGAGCAGAAACCAATGAAACACAATAGTAAATAAATAGAAAATAAATGAAACCTAAATCTCATTCTTTACAAAGATCAATAAAAATGATAAGCCAACAGCCAGGCTAACCAAAAAAGGAAGAAGGAAGAAGGCACAAATTACTAATATCAGAAATGAAATTGGAATCATTAATACTGATCCCACAGACATTAATAGGGAGATTATGGCCAGGCCTGATGGTGCATGCCTGTAATCCCAGCACTCAGGAGGCCAAGGCAGGAGGAGCGCCATGAGTTCAAGGCCAGGCTGGAATACATAGTGAGTTCAAGGCCAGCCTGAACCATATAAGACCCTATCTAAAACAAAACAAAACAAAACAAAAAAACCAAAAGGAATATTATGAACAACTTTGCCCACAAATTTGATAACCTAGACAAAATGGACAAATTCCTTGAAAAGTACCAAATACTAAAACTCACAGAAGAAAACAGATAATCGGGCTGGGGATTTACCTCAGTTGTTCCGCTGCCTGCCTCACAAGCTCAAGGTCCTGAGTTCGATCGTTGGTACCAAAAAAACAAAAACAAAAACAAAAACCCAGATAATCTACACAAGTCTATGTCTATTAAAGAAATTGAGCCAGGTGTGATTGCACACACCTAGAATCCCAGCACTCTGGGAGGCTGAGGTGGGAGGATTGCAAGTTCCAGCCCAGCCTGGAAACTTAGAGACTCTCTCAAAATAAGACAATAAAAAGGCTGGGGATATAGCTCAGTGTGAAGGCCCTGAGTTCAATCCCCAGTACCACCAAAAATCAACAATTAATAACTTCCAAAAATAAAAGGACTAAAATAACAGTGAAGTTGGAGGACTAGTATTTCCTGACTTGAAGTTTCTATAAAGGTGGGCATTGAGACAGTGTGATGTTGGTAGAACAGACACTTAGATCAGCGGAACAGAATGGAGAATCCAGAAGTTGACCCAACTCAATGGCAAAAGGATAATCTGTTTAAAAGTTATGCTGGAACATTGAATCTGCATATGTAAAACAAAATGAAATATAGACACAAATCTTACTCCTTTTGCAAAAACTAACCTCAAAATGGATCATAGACCTAAGTGTATAATGCAAAAATGTTAAAATTTCTAGAAGCTAACTTAGGAAAAAATCCTGTGGAGAATTTTTCTTTTCTTTTTCTTTTTTTTTGAGAGAGAGGGCCTCACTATGTTCAGACTAGCTGTGAACTCACTATGTAGCCCAGGCTGGCCTCAAGCTTGTGATGATCCTCCTGCCTCAGGCTCTCAAGTGCTAGGATTACAGTTGTATGCTACCACGTCCAAGTCTATGGGGAATTTCCTATGGAGTATTTTTCCAAAGAAAGACCTTGATTTTGGTGACGAGTTTTTACATATAGTATACATAAAGTATGATCTATGGGGGAGCACAAATTAGACTTTATTAAAATTAAAATCTTCTAAAAAAATTAAAATCTTCTGATCAGTGAATGAAAGAAAAGATAAGAAATTTCAGCAGATGGATAGAAGCTATTTTTTTAAAGAACCAAATTTCAGGACAGTTGGAAGTGGGGTATAAGGAGGAACAAATAGAAATTAAAAAACAGAAATATGTAACATTCTGCAGAGCGCCAACTCAGGAAGAAAAATTTCACTGACAGTATTGAATAACAGAATGGAAGGGGATGGAAACTATTCAGCAAACTTGAAGGTGGATTCATAGAAATAGTTCAATCTGAAAAAGAGAGAAAGAAAGATTAAAAACAGACAAGGCAGTGTCTCAGGCCCTTGTGGGACGTCATAAGTCCCCACCTTCATGTAAATGGAGTCCTAGAAGGAGAGGACAGGGAGATAGAATAAAATATATGGAGGAAAAAAAATGGTCAACTCTTTCCCAAAGTTGATGAAAGACATTGTTATGGTTTGGGTCTAGATTCCCCCCAAAAAACCTCATAGATGTGGGGCTTTTTTGGAGGTGGCTGAATCTACTGTGTGATGCTGGGATGAAGATTGTGTGGTTACTAAACCAGAGCACTGCTTGGTTCGGCAGAGCCCTAATCCCCACAGTCTGGATGAGATAAAAGAGGCAGGAAGACACTGTTAAGGTTCTCTTATTGCTTTTGCTGCCTTCAGCCACCAGGAACTATTACCTCTCTTCCATGTGCCACCCTGCCTTGGAGCCAGCCAATTATGGTCTGAAACTTCCACAAACTGTGAGCTAAATAAACCCTTCCCCCTTTAACTTTGGGTGTGGGGTATTTTGTCCCAGCAACAAGAGAGGAGTAACTAAGACAGACATCAATTTAAAATTTCAAGAAGCTCACTAAACCCCAAGAAAGATAAATTTAAAGAAGACTGTACCAAAGAATAAGTCAAACTGATATCTGAAAAACCAAAGATAAAAAGAAAATTTTGATAGCAGCTAGGGTAAAGCAACACTTTACACACACAGCATCAAGAATTTGATTTACTGCCAGCTTCTCATCTGAGACTATGGAGATCAGAAGACAGTAGAAGATCTGCAGTGATAAAATTTCTTTAGCTGAAAAACCTGAAAAGTTGATAAGAATAAATATGAAGCTGGGCATGGTGGTGCATGCCCGTAATCCCAGCCCTCAGGAGGCTAAGGCAAGAGGATTGCCATGAGTTTGAGGCCAGCCTAGGCTACACAGTAAGTACAAGATCAGCCTGGACTACATAGTGAGCTCCTGTCGAAAAACAAAAATCAACAACAGCAAAAGAATAAATATGAATAAAGAAAAAATAAAGAAATAAATATGAATAAAGACATTTTTTAAGGAAAAAAAAAAAGAGGATTCCCTCCTACATTCCTGCATTATAAGATATGCCAAAGGGAGTTCTTCAAGCTGAAAGGAAATGGTACCATAACTAAAATGTCCACCAAGTTGAATGCAGCAGCACACACTTGTAATCCCAGCTACTTGGAAGGCTGAGGCAGAAGAATTAAAAATGTGAGGTCAGCCTGGGAAACTTAGTAAAAACCCTGCCTCAAAAAAATAAAATTCCCGGGCCGGGGATTTAGCTCAGTGGTTTTGCTGCCTGCTGCGCAAGTGCAAGGACCCGAGTTCGATCCCTGGTACCCAAAAAATAAAATAAAATAAAATAAAATAAAATTCCCTAGAGGTATAGCTTAGTGGTAGAATACTTGTGTAGCATGCCTGAGGCCTTGGGCTCAGTCTCCAGTGCTGTAAATAAATAAATAAATAAACCCTCCAAAAGGCTCACATATTGAAGACTGGTCCCAGTGTTGGCAACACAGTTCAGGGGTGGGACTTTTGGGAAGTACTGGATCATAAGGGCTCTGACTCCATCAGTGCATTAACCCTTCTGTGGATTCACAGTTTGATGGCATGATTGCGAGGTGAAGGAAACTAAGGAGCTACAGCTAGTTAAAGGGAGTAGGTAATGGGCCATGCCCTCGGGGGATCTCTTGTCCCTGGCCCCGCTCCTTGTCCCCCAACCCCCGCTTCCTGGATGCTGTGAAGTGAGCAACTTTTCTCTGCCACACTCTTCTGCCACGATGTACTTATCTCACCTCAGACCCAGCAACAATGGAGCCAACCAACCATGGACTGAAACCTCTGAGTCCATGAGCCAAAGCAAACCTTTCCTTTTTCAAATGGTTTATCTCAGATATTTTGTTAGTGTTGGAAAGCTCACTAACATACCACATGAAAATTCAAATCTTCAGAAGGGATCAAAGGTTACTGGATGTGATAAATATCTGGGTAACTATGTATGACTATTTTCCACATTAATTTCTTTAAATAGATATTTTTCTTTAAAGAAAAATTTATAACACTATGCTGTGAAGTTTGTAAAGCATGTGCATATAATCTATTTACGTAGCAAAAAGGACAGGAGGGTGATAAATAGTGATAATGGTAGGTAGTAGAAAATAGTGTATGAAAGGATACAATATTAATTCTAAAGAGACTGAAAAGTTAAAGATATATGTTTTAGTCCTTACAGCAATCACAAAAAATATGCATAAACAATAACTAAATTAAAATGAGGAGTTCTAGAGAATGTTCAAATGAATCCAGAGACAGCAGGAAAGCTTTCCTCATCTGTAAGTGGGGCTCAGACAGACAGACAGACAGACTTACAGCAGCTGCAAGGTTGAGAGACAGGCACAGCAGTGGCTGCTGGAGGAAGCAGATGGGAAGGAAGTGGGGCTGCTTTTCACTCAGCTCAGGAGGAGTGGGCTGATATTGTCACAATGGAGGGATGCCCTGTCCATTCAGATGACCTCTGGGACCAGGCTTGACCCTCCCTGCGTGGCACACACAGTGTAGGAGGTGCCCCTCCCATTTCCTGGTCCTACTGTTTTCCCTCTCTGTCCATAGTCCCTCCTCTTTCCCTAGCCAGTAGCCCCGCCGCAGGTCTTTCTGTGGGATGTATCTGGGTATAAGCAGCATCAGGTCTGCAGTCTATTTACAGGCTTCAGGGCAGCAGGCTGTACCAGCTTCTCCTGACTCTGGACCTGGCCCGGGTTCTGTGTCTTCAGACAGACACCACCAGAGCTGTGTAAGAAGGGCAGGTTGCAAGCTGG